ACTTAAGACACTGAGTTATTAATGAATACCACACCAATATCTGAATTAAAAGTCAAAATTACATTTCCATGCTTTTAAGTAACAAAAGGATAACACCACTTGAGCAGCAAACACAGTCACTAGTGCATATTTACAACTTTGAAAAGATCTTCATCCTTAAGAGAAACAAGTTTAAAGCATATCAAAGACATGTAAAACTGAGTAAGCAAACCAAAGGGCGTTTGCATTAGCCCAATTTTCTGAACCAATCTGTATTGGCTTACTTTAGTTAACAACATAAAGGCTTGTATACAAAGATTTTACTCTCATTTTTATAAGACTACTCTAGCTGAAAAGCAAAAACATGAATACAACATAGATATGACATCATTTACTATTTACTACATTTTAATACACTTTGTATAATTTGAATTGACTCAAACAGCTGTTACTTTAACAAAGTTAGTCTCATCCTTTGAGAGTTCCAGGGATCCGACTGGAAGCCCCAAAGTTGAAAGACTCGGTTTAGAATTTTAACTATCAGTGAGTCAAACCATTTTAGTCAAAAATTAGTACGTTTAACCAAGGCTGTGGGCTAGATCTGATCAGTGTTAGGTAATCACTCAAACATTAAAGACAGGCAAATAACGTAAACAGTTTCGTATTGTAGTTTTTCCAATCAAGACTCATACTGGCAATAGAAAAATGCGAAACCTTCAAGACACATGAAAACTCTCAGATAAGTTAGCTACAGCAGTACAGAAAAGAGTTGATTATCAGCGTATGAGCCCATTGCTTTAAGTTTTTATTAACTGTAAAGAGAAAAACCCATCAAGTTGGAAAGGGTTAATGGATTAAGGTTCTTGCTCCCTTAGATAAGGCCAGCAGTAGCCAGAGGCACTTCCCCTGCCCCCCTCCTAGTGAGGAGGTTATTGAATTGGAAATGGAGACTAAAAAAGCCGCCCTGAGGAGCCCTTTCCCAAGAGATATCTGGCTAAGCCTGCATGGGTGCGGTAGGACACTTTGACTGGAATAGAGTGTAGAGAAAGGCTGTGGTCCCTCATTTACAGGGAAGACTGCACTTGCCGGGGCCTAGCAGGGCTGGCCGTGGGGTTGGGTAGGTACGCCGTTTCACCAAGAGTGCTGGGAACCTCCATAGCGCCTAGTCTAATTAAAACAGCCACCAAGTTGAGATCTTAAACCAGAGCCAGATTCAATCAGGGCTACTGCAACCACTCAATTAAAACAGATAAGTAATAGCGTACAAAAGCTTTTCAAGACATACCGGAACTACCATAAGCTGCAAAGATGGAAAAACATTTATCGGGTTGGAAAGGGTTATTGAATCAAGACTTTTCTCTAGGTCAAGATACCTGTGGAATTTTTCCTCTCTCTTTCTCCTGGCCATAGGTATATGGAGCAGTGGGCTCATATGCATCACAAGCAGATTTTCAATCTTTTAACATTTTAAAGGGGACTGGATGGTGACTGGCATTTCTTGGCCATCTTCTGTATATACTTTCACTGGAAAAGCATCAAAAGATTTTGGCTTCCTCCTGGCCTTGCTGTGCTGCTTTTCTCAGGGTTTGAGTGACATTCTTTTTAAGATATTTGGCAAACATTCCCCTTCTTGACAAAGGGTAATTTTTTATCATTATTTTTTATAAATAATTTAAAGGGAGGGGCGGAGGGACTAACTTTTTCCATAGAACTAGAGGATCGGCAGGATCGATTATCCTCGCCATCACAGCTTCTGGCTTCCTCAATTTTCTCATGTCCTCCCGATGCATCTCATCTACAAGGCCTTCTTCAATAAACCAAGGACATGCAATTTCTATGGTTTCTATAAATTGCTCTATTACTTTCTTTTTTAACCCTATTCCTTGCGTCTGCAATAATGCCTTCACTGCCTTTACTACTGGGGGATTTTTCCCGATGCTTGTCCCATAATGCCTGCTCAAAATAAATCTCCACAATTTTGGTGTCGGGTACTCACCACAAATTGTATACCTCTATAGTCGCGACTCCGTGAATCCAGGTTCCTCACTGCTTCTCTAATTCTCAGGCCCCACGTTGGGCGCCATTTGTGCCGGCCTGCGGCACAATGAACTGGGTCTTCCTGAAACAGAGAGTGGGAATGCGGGGACAAGGACGCAAAGAATGGAGCCAAGACAAGTCCTGATCAAGGCTCCCATTGTTATGTTCTAATACATGTCAACCTGTGTTGACCCTAAATACACAAACTTCTTCTTGGCACAAGCCATTTATGCCCTTATTGTTCACTAGTCAACACGTGGCAGCACAGAAGTTACAGAAACTGCTGCAGTGACATTCAAAGCCTTTGTCTTTGCAGTAGCTCTCAGTATTACTAAGCTGGTCATGTTAGCCTCTGGTGCTTCTTTCTTCTGCCACTTCTCTGGTGTTTGAGAAAATCATATCTTTGTATTAAGTTGATTTATCCAGAATTTAAAATGCACTTACCATTTATTTATAAAAATTTCATTTATTTATTTGAAAGAGTTAAAAAGAGACAGAGAAAGAAGGGGAGAAGGAGAGAGAGAGACTTTCTGTTCACTGGTTCACTCTCCAGATGGCTGCAACTACCTGGGCTGGGCCAGGCTGAAGCCAGGAACCAGGAGCTTCTGATGGGTTTCCCACATGGGTGACAGGGCCCATGCATTTGGGTCATCTTCTGGTACTTTTCCAGGCCATTAGCAGGGAGCTGGATTGGAAGTAGAGCAGCTGGAACTTAAAATGGCACTCATATGGGATGCTGGCATCTTCACCTGCTGTGCTACAATTCCAGCCCCTGCAGTTACCATTTAAACAAATGCAGACTTCACAGTAATGCTGGATACTTTGGAGTTCAGCCTGCCTGCCTGCCTTCCAAGAGATTTAAATTTATTTGAAAGGCAGAGTTACAGAGACAGAGGGACATACAGAGAGACAGAGAGATCTTCAATCCACTGGTTCACTCTCCAAATGGCTACAGTGGCCAGTTCTAGGCTAAGCCAAAGCCAGACCTCCATCTGCGTGGATGGAACTCCATCTGGGTCTCCCTCGTGAGTGCAGGGGCCTTAAGAACTTGGGCCATTTTCTACTGCTTTCCTAAGTGCTTCAGTAGGGAGCTGAATTTACAGTGGAGCAGCTGGAACTCCAGTCAAGGTTCATATGAAATGCGGGCATTACAGGCAGCAGCTTAACCTACTGTGCTACAACACTGGTCCCTAAAGTTGAGCCTCTTATATTAAAGGGTAGAGAACTGCGGTAGACTAACTCTGTCCTGTTTTTTCACTGTTAATACAGAAAATACAAAAGTGATATCTTTCAACATTAAATCTATTTGTCTATTTCATTCTACAAATTTGTATTGGGAGCATATCACCGCATATACAAATATTAATACGTTTTCTACCCTCAGCAATCTCATGCTATAGTAAGGGAGATAAATAGGTAAATAAATAATTCATGACAGTAACGTAGGGAATATTAAAGTTGTATGAATTATGAAGATCAAAAGATCAAGGATCACTTTAGTGCAGTCATCTTCTATGTGAGATGGTATCTTCCTTATCTTCCATGCACACTCTGTTGCCCATGGCTGGGGACCTTTTTGCTGTTATAATGACTGAGGGATTGTAATGGCTTTTAAATGGGTAGGACTAGGAAAATGAATGCCGAAGACTAGGACTATGTACTGGACAACTCTGTAATACTAAGTATTGTCTTGCTCAAATTTTCTGAAGGTTGAACTGAAAAGTCAACTAATAGTTGAATAATCACTTCATACCTGATCCTGGAAGGTGCATGCAAGCAAATGTTGTCAGAAAGTAATGTTCTTTTTTTAAAAAAATATTTATTTATTTACATTTTGTTTGAAAAGCAGAGACATAGAGATAGAGAGATCACTCTCCAGGTGTCTGCAAAAATCTGGGCTGGGCCACACTGAAGCCAGGAGACAGGAATTTCCTTCATATCTCCTATGTGGATAGCAGTCATCCAAGTACTTGGGCCATCCCCCTGCAACCTTCTAGGGTGCACATGAGCAAGCAGCAGGATCAGAAATAGAGTAGCTACTGCTTGAACCCAGCACTCAATGTGGGATGAGGTGTCCCACGAAGCAACTTAACTGCTGTGCCAAATGCCCAGAAAGTGATGTTCTTATATCAGTAAAATGTGGCTTGCTACCTGTAGGATTTTTCCAAAGAGCATTTGACCAAAACTTTCATTTGGTTAATTGAAATTTTTAAAGTTGGATCCTATTTATCGTAATTGAAGACTGTAAAATGCAAGAGAAATTGAGTTTCAATAGTACTACGTTCTCCTCTTAGTTTTTCCTTTTTTCTTTTTTTTTTCTCTGTAATTGTTTCCCAAAAGAATTGTATTGTTTGTGGTTAATTTGGTTACTGAGATATTTTTAAATTATATATATTTTATTTTCTAGGAGAATATCAACCAGCAAAGTGACAGTTCTGGGTTATGGTCTTTTAACCACAGATGCACAGAGTTTGATAGATGCATTGAATAACCAGAACTTCAAAGTAGTGATAGTGGATGAATCACACTACATGAAGTCCAGAAATGCAACCCGCAGCAAGATTTTATTGCCGCTAGTGCAGAGAGCCAAACGAGCCATTCTTCTTACAGGAACTCCGGCTTTGGGAAGGCCTGAAGAGGTACTAAACGTCTTTTCTACTTTGGGCTTAAGAACAACTGAAAAGGAAAATTATGTCAGCCACCTGTTTTGTTGTTTTTAATTACAAATTAGATGCCCCAAATGCCAAATTGAGAATTTGTGCACAGCAATTAATGATCAAATATATATTTTATCTTGATTTATTTTTCTCTATCTACATGTAAATGTTAGCCATGCTAGTAGGTATGTTTAAGGAATGGTTTTTAACTTTATTATAAAGTTTCCACACTTAGTACAATGTATATAACTCTATACATATATATGAGAGATTTTTGTATAGTCCTAATCTTCATTTGCCTGTCTGTTTTGCATTGTATGCTAGTTAAGGTTGTATTGAATCTGCTTTATTTCTTTTATATTGCATTACAGAACATCTCCTTATTCCTACACTTCACAATCTACTTTGGTAGATGCATATGTGCAAACCATGTAAGTTATTTAATTAGAATCAGGCTTTTTTAAATACCACATTTAGCTTTTGCCATCCAAACAGGCAGGTAGAATGGTTACAGGGTTGTAAAAAAAGAAATGGTAGTGAAATCTTAGGAGTCTGAGAAGGTCAGTAGTTCCTAAGGAAGCCCTGTCTACCAATGAACACTGAGTCAGTGTTAGGATTTGTGTGTGGTAGGATTGCTAGGAGAAATAAAGAAAATACTACTTTGAAAATGCCTAGCCTATGCCTCAGCACACAGTAAACACTTACCATATGGTAGCCACTATTATTAATTATTAACTCAAGCCTGGATGACAGCTGTTATCATTGCATCTCTACAATGTTACCTAGGCCCTGCTTTTGAATTCTGTCTTTGAGATCCTTATAACAATACATATATTGTGATAGTAAAATGTTTATATTTTTTCTCTCACTTTACTGGAAGAGGGAGAAAGTAGACTCCAAATAATTTATTTTTGTTCCAAAATTATGTCATTGACTACTAAGGGTTGTTTACCATTTAAAAATCTTGGAATTTATCATTCAAGAAAGAGATTATATAGAAGAGCTATATTTAAGTATATAAATTTAAATAAATACTATATTAAGCATATATTAAGATATATTTAAATGATAATAAAAATGAGTACTCATCACATAGCATAAGTAATAGAACAGTGGCCCTGTGTCCTACTATAAGACACTTTCAACCCCATCTAGGAAAACCACTGTCAAAGCAAAGGTATATCCCAGTTTTGTGGAACCTAATGATTACACAATATATTTAGAACTCTTCCCATTTTTTTCCTTTTGAAGATTATTTTGGCTATTCTAAGTCCCTTGAATTCCCACATGAATTTTTTTGTTGGCTTGTCATTTTTGGCATCTAATCCAGTTTAAATTTTTTTATTTATCTGAGAGAGTTACAGAGAAAGGGACAGACAGAGAAAAAGGTCTTCCATCCACTGGCTCACTCTCCAAATGGTTGCAGTGGCTGGAGCTGAGCCGCTCCAAAGCCAGGAAACAAGAGATTCTTAAGAGTTTTCCGTGTGGATGCATGGGCCCAAGTGCTTGGGGCATCTTCCACTCATTGCTTTCCCAGGCCATAGCAGAGAGCTGGTTCAGAAGAGGAGCAGCCAGGATTTGAACTGGAGCCTATATGGGGATGCTGGCACTGCAGGCAGAGGCTTAGCTCAGTATGCCACAGTGCAGGCCCTTGAAATTTTTTTTAAGATCTAATTATTTATTAAATTTGAAAGGCAGAGTTACAGAGAGAGAGAGAGAGAGAGGGAGATATCCTCCATCCACCATTCACTCCCAAAATGACTGCAACAGCCAGGGCTGGGCCAGGATGAAGCCAGAAGCCTCCTGCAGGTCTCCCATGTGGGTTACAGGGGCCCAAGAACTCAGGCCATTTCTGTTACTCTGTCAGGCGCAGGAGCAGGGAGCTGGATCAGAAGTGGCGCATCTGGGCCTCCTGGGCCTCAAATTGGTGCCCATATGGGATGCCTGAACTGCAGGCCACTGCTTAACCCACTGTGCCACAACACCAGCTCCCGTTTGAATTTTTATTCTTATTTTGTGTAATCTATAGATTGCTTTGTAGGATATTACTATCTAAACAATATTAAGTCTTCCAATCCTGGAACATTTGTATTTCCCCGATGGCTAGTCATCCTGGGCATTTTTTCAAGTGTCTGTTGGCCATTTGGATTTCCTTTTTTGAAAAATGCCTGTTCAAGTCCTTTACCCATTTCTTAACTGGATTGTTTATTTTGTTGTTGATAAATTTCATAGCTCTTTAAAGATTTTAGATATTAATCCTTTATCAGTTGCATAGTTTGCACATATTTTCTCTCATTCTTTCAGTTGCCTGTTCGCTTTCTTGAGTGTTTCTTTTGCAGTGCAGGAGCTGTTCAGCTGGAAGTAATCCTGTTTGTCAGTTTTGGGTTTGATTCCCTGTGCTTCTGGGGTCTTTTCCCAGAAGTCTTTGCCTATGCCAATGTCTTGCAGAGTTTCCCCATTGTTCTCTTGTAATTTGATGATATTGGGTCATAGATTTAGGTCCTTGATCCATTTTGAGTGGATTTTTATGTAAGGTATAAGGTAGGGATCTTGTTTCATACTTCTGCACACCCAGAGATCCAGTTTTCCCAGCACCATTTGTTGAAGAGACTGTCCTTGCTCCAGGGATTGATTTTCGCTTCTTAGTCATAGATAAGTTGGTTGTAGATGCGTGGATTGATTTCTAGAGTTTCTATTCTTTTTCATTGGTCTACATGTCTATTTTTGTGTCAATCCCAGGCTATTTTGATTATGACTGCCCTGTAGTGAAATTTGGTATTATGATGCCTCAGGCTTAATTTTTGTTGTATAAGATTGTTTTGGCTAGTTAGGGTCTCTTGTGCTTCCATATGAATTTTAACATCCTTGTTTCTAGATCTGGGAAAAGTCTCATTGATATTTTGATCAGGATCCCATTGAATTTGTAATTTGCTTCCTGTAGTTTGGACATTTTGATAATATTAATCTTATAATCCACAAATATGGAAGATTTTTCCATTTTGTGTATCTGTTTTGTAATTTTCATCATAGAGGTCTTTTACCTTGTTGTTTAAATTTATTCCAAATCATTTAAATTTTTTTCTGTAGCTATTTTGAATGGAATTGATCTTAGTAGTTCTTTCTCAACTGTGGCATTGTCTGTGTATACAAAGGCTACTGTTTTTTTTGTGTTAATTTTATATCCTACCACTTTGTCAGACTCTTTTATAGTTCCAGTAGTCTCTTAGTGGAGCCTTTTGATTCCCTTATTTATAGAATCGTCATCTGCAAATAGGGATAGTTTGACTTCCTCCTTCCCAATTTGTATCCCTTTGATTCTTTTTCTTGCCTAATAGCTCTGACTAAAACTTTCAGGACTATATTGAATACCAGTGGTCAGAGTGGGCACACTTGTCTGGTTCTGGATCTCAGTGGAAATGCTTCCAACAGTAAGATACCAGCCATGGGTTTGTCATATATTGCCTTGATTGTGTTCAGGAATGTTCCTTCTCCACCCATTTGGTTAAGGTTTTCATCATGAAAGAATGTTGTATTTTATCAGAGCTTTCTCGTTATCTATTGAAATAATCATATGGTTTTTATTTTTCAGTTTGTTAATGTGATATATCACATTGTGATGTGTTGTATCACATTTATTGATTTGCAAATACTGTACCTGCATATCTGGGATTAAATCCACTTTGGTCTGGTTAAATGATCTTTCTGATGTGCTGTTGGATTCGATTAGTTGTATTTTGTTGAGGATTATTGCATCTGTGTTCATCAGGGATATTGTTCTATAGTTTTCTTTCTCTGTTATATCTTTTTCTAGTTAGGTGATGCTGGCCTCAAACAAGGAGTTTGGGTGGATTCCCTCCCTTTCAAAACTTTTGAATAGTTTGAAAAAGAAATGGAATTAGTTCTTTAAAAGTCTGGTTGAATTCAGCAGTGAAGCCATCCTATCCTGGCCTTTTCTTTTTTAGGAGGGACTTTATTACTGATTTAATCTCCATCTTGTTATTGGTTTGTTTAGATTTTCTATGTCTTCATGACTCATTTTTGGTAGAATGCACGTGTCCAGGAGTCTATCCATTCTAGTTTATCCAATTTCTTGGCATACTGCTCTTTGTAGTAATTTCTAATGAGTCTTTTTATTTCTGTGGTATCTTTTGTTACATCTCCTTTTTCATCTCTGATTTTGTTTGATTTGAGTCTTTTCCTGTTTTTGTTTTTTTTTTTTTTTTTTAGTTATTTGTGCCAATTGTGTATCAATTTTGTTGATTTTTTTCAAAAAACCAGCTCTTCATTTCATTGATCTTTTGTATTGTTCTTTTGGTTTAGTTTTGTTTATTTTTCTCTAATTTTAATTATTTCTTTCCTCCTACTAATTTTGGGTCTGGTTTGCTGCAGTTTTTCTAGATCCTTGAGATGCATTGATAGCTCATTTATTTGGTGTCTTTGCAATTTCTTGATGTAGGCACCAGTTGCTATAAACTTCCCTCTTAACACTACTTTTGCTGTTTCCTATAAGTTTTGATAGTGTCATCTTCATTTGTTTCCAGAATTTTTTTTTATTTCCCTTTTGATTTCTTCAATCTGTTCATTCAGGAGCATGTTGTGCAGTCTCCATGTGTTTGCTTTTGTTTTCGAGATTCTTGAGTTGTTGATTTCCAGCTTCATTCCATGGTGGTCAGAAAAAATGCACAGTATGATTTCTATTTTTTTTTAGTTTGCTGAGACTTGCTTTATCACTTATCATATGGTCAGTCCTGGAGAAAGTTCCCTGCACTGATGAAAAGAATGTGTATGAAAAACTGTGGGATGAAATGTTCTGTAGATATGTTAGGTCCATTTGGTCCATAGTGTCATTTAGCTCTGTTGTCTCTTTGTTGATTTGCTGTCTAGTTGACCTGTCCATTGATGAGAATGCGATGTTGAAGTCCCCCATTACTATTGTATTGGAGTCTATTCCTCCTTTTAAGTCCACTAACATTTGTTTTAAA